ATATGTGTGTGTGTGTGTGTGTGTGTGCTTGTGTTTGTGTGTGTGTGTGTGTGTGTGTGTATGTGTGCGTGTAAAAACATACGCACACATATACCCATATGCCAATGTTCCTCAACATCTTTCTAGTTTACGTTACGGTCTAACGTTGCCACATGCCTGGTCCTCCTTTCTCCATTCGCAACATCGCTTATGCTCAATGCCGCCCCAGCATTACTTTCTCAAAAAACAAAAAAGACCCGACCTTTGCAGTCACCATGCATATATTATCCTTTACTTCCGGTTCGTGAAGGATAACGGAAGTGCAGTGTGAAGGTAGGATTTTGAAGCATATATAAGAGCTTCTGGATAAGACGTGTTCATTATCCAGCTCCTGAATATACCTTTTCTTTGTCAATATGAAGACTCTCGTGGTAAGAGAAATATTTTGGATGTAAACTTTTTCTTGTGAAAAGCTTGTGAATGTGCGAGTATGTACCGATATATATATATGTATATATGTGTGCATGAATATATATATGACATATATGTATAAATAAATATATGCAATGCCTATACATTCATATATATATATAGAGAGAGAGAGATAGAGAGGGGGGGGGGAGACTGACTTTGTGTAAGTGAATGAGTGAGCGATGTGTCTGAGTGAGAGTGCGTGTGTTGACGAGCGTCAGCCTATACCATGCTCCCTCCTCGCCAACAGAAATCCACGCTGACGAAGGTGCTGCTGGCGTCCGCGCTGGCAGCCCTGCTCTCGACGGCGGAAGGGAGCGCGAAGGCCAGCTACGGCCACGTCGGAGGACTCGGTGGATTTGGAGGCATTGGGCTCGGTGGATTTGGTGGACTTGGAGGCGGTGGATATGGTGGATATGGTGGACTTGGAGGCGGTGGATATGGTGGATACGGAGGCTATGGTGGATTCGGTGGGCTAGGTGGATTCGGTGGACTTGGCGGACTAGGTGGTTTTGGTGGATTAGGTGGATATGGAAGCTACGGAGACTATGGAAGTGTTTCTCATAGTTATGGATCTTATAACTCTTATGGCAAATGAGATTATCCATCTAACACTTCAATATTATTTATAGTCTTCTAGCACTGTAGTATATTCTATTAGTCAGTGTATTTTAGTACTGCAATATGTTCTACGAGTCAGTGTATTTTAGTACTACAATATAGTATTCTATTAATCAGTGCAATTAGATACTGCAATATATTCTACGCATTAGCACCAATTTCCTATCACTTTATCTTTTGTGAATTTGAAATATAATCGCTAATTTTCGAGTAGAAGAGTACAAGTGTAAAACTCAAAGGTAGTAGAAATAGAAGAGATAAATGCACCAGAAAATTATTTAATAAAAAGGAATTTACAAATTGTTATGTTTTTTTCTTTCTACCTTTTGTTAAAACTGTAGAACATTAAATCATGATTATATACCCGTCTAAGGAACAAATTATGAAAATCAGATCAAGAATACTGTTATGTGTTCTTCATTATCGCTGAAACGTACTGTGGTGATAATGATGTTACCAGAACGGTATTTATAACAAATTTACAACAGTCATTCTGGTAAATGTAATTGGATGGCAGCAACATTAAAATCTGTGGTGTTATTAATAAACGTAATATTTAGAATGATGATTATGCATTGCAAAAATGATGACAAAAATAGGTACGACACAGATAATAATGATAAAAAAAACAATAACACTAATACGAATAAAGATAAGAATCATACTAACCATGTTAATTAAAACGACAACAGTGATAATCAAAATCGAACTTAATTACAATCCACCTTGATCATGATTCTAATCCTGATCACCCTAATCATCATCATCATCGGAATAATCCTATCAATCCCCAGTCCTTCTACTACTAATATTCACAAAAATACGAAAGAGAAAACAAGACAAGAGAAAGTATCATTCAAAACTAACTTAACCCGGCGACTGGCCATGCTTGCTGCCCATCCATTTTCCCCTATATTGTCCACCCGACAAGAGTGACACAGAGTAAACAGTTACAGAATACTACTTACCATTGTCCGAGGCTTTTTAACAGATGGATACACTTTCTTTACGGTATATATTTAAGATGCTTTGCACACCCCTGTCAGTATTAGTTTCGTCTGCAACAGCTTTGGATATCAGGATGGCATTTGCTCTTGTAAGTAAAAATAAGGTTATTTGTTTGATAAGATGGTTGCCTGTTTAATAACGCTGGTATTATTATAGGTACATTAGCGATTGCCTGTCACTCTGACTGGTTCTCTATATGACATTAATATTTACTTACACACGTACACACACACACGCACACAAATGTGTGTGTTTGTGTGTGTGTGTGTGCGTGTGTGTGTGTGTGTGCATATACATACATACACATACATATATGTATATGTGTGTGTGCATATATATGATATACATATACATGTGTGTGTGTGTGTGAGTGTGTCGATAGAGAGATAAAGATGCAATCAAATTGATAAAAGCAAATATAGAAATTGAGACATACATACATAGATAGATTGATAGATAGATAAACGTTGATGTACACCGTGCACACGAAAATATAAATATTACTCGCTCTCAATTAACAGAATGTATCTATCTGTTACTACATATATATTACGCAGTAGCATAGTAAGCCAAGGTAATACATTAGTTGGGAAGAGATAGGTAAAGGAAGAGAGAGAGAGAGAGAGAGATACAGAGAGACAGAGAGATAGTATTGAACATTTTTTCTTCACTAACAGATATGGTGATCAGGGTTGTCAATATAAAATGGATAAATTATTTCCACGTTAAGCATCATATCCTAAACTAAACATTTTTATTCGGAGATTAATAACAGTAACAGTTGAAAAAAAAAATCACACGCAATCCCTTATTCTCCCTCTTTGGATAACGAAATATAAATATTGCATGATCCCATTAAATCCCATGAAGGTTGTAGAAGAAAAAGCAACACATATTTAATACATGGCAACTCCTATCGCTCATTGCCAATGAAATCCGTAAAAAGCTACGCAAATTTAATGCATGACATACACCCCTTCCGAACCACACCATGTAATCCGTAACAGAACGCTCATGAAATCCGTGAAAACATTGTACATCTAACGCTATAAACAACATAAAAGCCTACATTTAACAGCATAACCATGTCTCTCATGCACAACCCCAACCACAAACTGCAATATAAATGCAACATTCATTGCAAGACATTTCACGCTCATAACCCCGACCCCCACCAACACCCCCCCCCCCCCCCCCCGACCTTCAATTCCCCACAATTAAAGCACATTCTTCCTACAGCGAGTGTCGGTGGCGGTCCTTGCAGTTCTATGCGTCATGCAGTCCTCAGCTGATCCTTGGCTGTGGGATAAAGGAAAAGGAGGTGGATATGGAGGCGGATACGGAGGAGGATATGGGGGTGGATACGGAGGTGGATATGGGAGTGGACACGGAGGAGGATATGGGGGTGGACACGGAGGTGGATATGGCCACAAAGGAAAGCTGATTATTAAATGCAAGGGATATTGTGGTGGGTATGGATATGGTGGAGGAGGAGGATATGGCCACGGAGGAGGGGGATATGGGTATGGCCATAGCGGTGGGTATGGCCATAAAGGGAAAGGTTATGGCCATAAGGGAAAAGGATATGGAGGAGGAGGAGGTGGCTATGGACACGGGGGAGGTGGCTATGGACACGGAGGAGGATATGGCCATAAAGGAAAGGGATATGGCCATGGAGGCGGATATGGCCACGATGATGGATATGGTCATAAAGGGAAGGGATATGGTCACGGAGGAGGTGGATATGGGTACGGAGGTTATGGCCACGATGATGGATATGGCTCTAAAGGAAAGGGATATGGCCACGGAGGAGGTGGATATGGCCACGATGATGGATATGGCTCTAAAGGAAAGGGATATGGCCACGGAGGAGGTGGATATGGCCACGATGATGGATATGGCTACGGAGGTTATGATCACGGCGGTGGATATGGGCATGGAGGCTACGGCCACAGTGATGGATATGGCCACAAAGGAAAAGACTACGGATATGGAAGTTACGGTAAGCAATTAACATTATCTATTATACTATTGTCTGGGATTCCATTACTGATATAGACTCGCTGTTTAATAGCTGTATTAATTATCAGCCCAATAACCAATGCCATATTGATAACACTATTAGCCTTGGTAACGTCATCATAATAATTACCAAGGATATTATTGCCTCCGTAGATATTATTATTCATAAAATCTTATTGATGTGGTCATTGTTACAACTACTGCCACTATTACTTCTACAACCACCATTATCATTATTTTTCCCATTACATCTGTTATTATTTCAATCAAATTGCTACTGATGATAATAATACCACTACTACGACTCCATCTATTGCTCCTGCTGGTACTACTACTTTTGCAATTCCTATCACCATCGTAATCATTATTATCCATGTAGATTTGCTACTAAATTTATTCGTGATATAAAATACAACCATTTCTTTTATTTTTTTTTTATAACTTGGTATAATGAATGTCTTTTTATCTGCTTACAGGTTATCACTGAGTGCTGCATGTTGTATTATTATGTTTAATGTGAACGAATATATGAAGAAGTCCCCCTTAGTCACTGCCCCACGTTTTCTATTACAAATAATATTGCAAGCTCATCCTTCTCATCTCTTCTTGTTCATAAAGGCTTAATCTTACTGTCTATTTGTCTCTGTCTCTCACTGTCTCTTTCTCTGTCTGTCTGTCTGTCTGCCTGTCTGTTTGTCTCCCTGCCTGTTTGCCTGTCTCTCTCTCTCTCTCTCTCTCTGTCTGTCTGTCTTTCTTTCTCTCTCTCCGTCTGTCTGTCTGTCTGTCTACTCTCTCTCTTTCTCTCTCGATCTATCTATCTATCTATCTATCTCTTTTAAGCTTAGATCTTCACTACTCTGTAGCCGATTGACAATTAACATTACTCGAGACTGTATATATATATATATATATATATATATATATATATATATATATATATGTATGTATGTATGTATATATATAAGTATGCATAAAGATGGTGTAAAGTCCCTGTATTATTAATAAAACTGCTTCCTCTTTATTTGCTTCCTCTTTATTTGTCAACCAACTTCAGTTCATCTTATTTATAAATGAATAAATACACATGAACCAGAATGATGACCAAGAATTAGGCAATGAATGAATACAGTTAAATGGGTGATTAAATGCAATAAATAGATTACAGAATATAGCTACACAAATACGAATAAATGAATTAATAAATCCACTGCATCTCCTTTCAATGTAGTAACTACCATAACATATACTGAAGAATTCCTTACTCTTAATCAAGGCACATGGATGTCTGTTTTTTTGGTTTTTGTTTTATCTTTTATCTATTTATTTATATTTTATCTACATGACCTTTTTTATGAATATGACCGCGACCTTAATCATTTCCAAGGTTAATGCTGACTGACCTTGGTGGTATCAGCAATGGCCTTTGCAACAGTGATCCTATTCAAGGTGAATAATGATAATGATTTTGGTGATGATGAGATGACAGTGGTGATGATGGTGTGGGTGATAATAGGCATAGGATAGGCATAGGAATGAGGAGGAGGAGGATAATGATAATGATAAATACAATGAATTGGAATAAGCAGTCATAATTTGGGTGATGACAATGATGGCAAGAAAAAATATGACGATGATGATTATGATCAAGCTAATAACGACAAAAGCAACAAGGAAAACGGTTACAAAATAATAATCATTAGCATTATCATACACACTTACGTACATACATACATAACAGGGACACTGTCGCTAAATCAATCTGTTCACCAGTCTGTGTTAACAATATCATTAGACAATATCAAAATTGTTTAAGTCGAAATTTATTTAGTAAGACCTAAACCCATTTTCTTTTTTTCAACTTCTTTTCTTCAAAACAACGTTATCGCTTAAATAAATGTCCGCCATTCCAATAAACAATATCACTAAAGTATAATCGTACACATGACAGTTTTTGCATGCGTTTCTCTATCTTTTGTGACCTTTATGCGGTTAAAAATGACAGGTCATTGTAATCTTACGTGATATGCTGTTGACCTTTGTGTAGTAAAAGTACTGTCCATGTTAACTCCAGCTGTGTCTGCTTCAAGGTGAGGCTGACTCCCAGTATTTCCGGATTTAAGATATTTATTAGAATTGCAGTTTCATTGAATTTCTATTTTTCCCTTTATTTTGTGACGAAACCATGAGTATCAGTTAATCGTGAAATATGGTATGTGTGTGTCATGTTCCCTAGTTTGTACACCTTCAGACCCATACACGCATACGTGATGTAAAAATATTCAGTTGGTATATTTTCTGTATCATGACGCCATACATACATGAATGTATATATGTATATACATATATACATACATATATATAGATAGATAGATAGACAGATATGCATGTGTATATATATACATACATAATATATATAAATATATATATATATATATATATATATATATATATATATATATATATATATATATATATATATATATGCACACATACATACGCATATATATACACATATATATATATATATATATATATATATATATATATATATATATATATATACATATACACACACACACACAATATGTAAATATGTATATGTACATATATATGTATATATATGTATATATACATATATATGTATATATACATATCTATGCATATATACAAATATATATACGTATATACATATATACAAATATATATACATATATGCATACATACAAATATATATACATATATGCATCTATACAAATATATATAAATATATGCATATATACAAATATATATACATATATGCATATATACAAATATATATACATATATGCATATATACAAATATATATAAATATATGCATATATACAAATATATATACATATATGCATATATACAAATATATATACATATATGCATATATACAAATATATATACATATATGCATATATACAAATATATATACATATATGCATATATACAAATATATATACATATATGCATATATACAAATATATATACATATATGCATATATATGTGTGTGTGTGCCCATGTGAGTTATGGTACACATGTGTGCAAATGTATGTGTTATGTATATATACAAATATATATGTTTCTACATATGGATAGACACACACACACACACATATATATACATATATATGTATGTGTGCGTGTGTCTATATATATATATATATATATATATATATATATATACATATATATACATTATATATATATATATATATACACACATATGAATATTTACACACAAATATATATATATACATATATATATATATATATATATATATATATATATAATGCCAATACTGGAAAAATTTCCCTCTTTATCCATTGCCGTATCCTTTTGTTGTAATAAATGAAAATGTAAATCACTGGGTAACGAAGACAAAAGTTATTAAGAATTTTTCAAAATTAATCTAACAGTTAGTCTCCATACTTCACACAAACGGTAAGCGAGAGTATGCGCTTGACTGGAGAAATCATGCATGTTAATTACATCATTTACAAGTACAGAGACTTATGACTTGCGCTGCAGTATCCATCCTTTTGGATAATTAACTGATGAGCCACATTTTAGACTGAATAGTTCATAACTTTAAATTTCTAAATGAATATCCAAAGATGCCTGGTATAGAGTAAGAGAGAGGAAAAACACGAGAAAAAGAGAGAAAAAAGAAAGTAGAAAAAAGGAAGAACGAGATCTCAAACTGTTATCAAGTGCTGAGGGTTTTTTGTGTATGCTTGTGTATCATTTTTCATGTCTACGCCCGTGTCTGTGTCAATGTCACTATTACTCTGTTAGTCCTTCTCTGTGTCTTTGTCTCTTTCTTTCTTCGTAAGATTTGCTTTTTTCTCTGCCACCCCTCCCCCCCTCTCTCTCTATCTATCTCTTTCTCTCTCTTTCTCTCCTCCACAATTTCCTGTGTCTAAAAAGGAATTGTTTTATCATGTAAAGTAGACAAATAATATGAAATATACATCTCACTTCGGATAAAGTAAACTGAATAAAATCAAGTGTATTACTTTATTTATATATTTACATCACGGAGGTGTAGTTCTCAGCCGTTAATGATAACCTGCAAAGAAAATCGAATTGGGCTTCAGTTCAAGTTACATGAAAGTTCATTTTAAATAAAACTGAACTATATGATAAATATATTCTTCAGTCGATGAGTCATAATAGATTTTTACGATTTCTTACCATGACCCCCGTGTCCGTAGCCTCCGTGACCGCCATGTCCATAGCCTCCGCCGTGACCTTTGCCATATCCTCCGTGCCCGTAGCCTCCGCCATGTCCTTTACCGTATCCGCCATGACCATGTCCTTTGCCGTATCCACCATGGCCATGGCCCTTACCGTACCCTCCGTGGCCATACCCTCCATGTCCATGGCCCTTACCGTATCCACCATGGCCATGGCCCTTGCCGTACCCTCCGTGGCCATGGCCCTTGCCGTACCCTCCGTGGCCATGGCCCTTGCCGTACCCTCCGTGTCCATGGCCGCCATGCCCTTTCCCATACCCGGGGTCGGGGTCTGCCATTGCCATGGCGACCATCACCAGCACAAGTACTGCTACGAGGGCTACGCGCTGTTGGGAATAAAGGTAATTTATATTTTCCATATCAAAGGTTGGGATTTGAGTTGAGTTGAGATTTACTTTTTTTCAAATATTTGGAGAAAATAGTCATCTAACGTGTTTGAACTGAATCTCTAAGCACCATCTTGGAAGGGAAGCTGTTCGTGTCGGAACCAGACAGTCACTGGATGACGTGGTCGGGGGTGGACCAGTTCTTATAGTAGACGGGACTGCCATGAAGCAACACCATGAAAATGGCCTGGGAGCTGATCATGGTTCGCTTCATCGGTAACAAAGACTGTAGAAGGGGACGGTTAATTTTTTTTTTTTTCTCTCTTTTTTTCTTTTTTTGCGGGGGTGGGAGTCGGCCACGTTTGGAGGGGACTTTAGTGTATAATAATAGTAATGGTAATGAATAAAAGCTGATGTTATATGCATTACTGTTTGTTTGCTTATGAAGTAAAACGTTGATTTTGAAGAACTTATAGGGAGTTAAATGTATATCTATTAATAATTTTCGCATCCACCGCATATTCAATTGCTGCATATATTTCAAAAGTTTTTAACTTGTATGCATATGCACATATATATGCATGTATGTCTATCTATCTACCTATATATATATATATATATATATATATATATATATATATATATATATATATATATATATATATATATATATATATATATATATATATATATATATATATATATATATATATATATATATATATATATATATATATATATATATATATATATATATATATATATATATATATATATATATATATATATATATATATATATATATATATATATATATATATATATATATATATATATATATATATATATATATATATATATATATATATATATATATATATATATATATATATATATATATATATATATATATATATATATATATATATATATATATATATATATATATATATATATATATATATATATATATATATATATATATATATATATATATATATATATATATATATATATATATATATATATATATATATATATATATATATATATATATATATATATATATATATATATATATATATATATATATATATATATATATATATATATATATATATATATATATATATATATATATATATATATATATATATATATATATATATATATATATATATATATATATATATATATATATATATATATATATATATATATATATATATATATATATATATATATATATATATATATATATATATATATATATATATATATATATAT